CTTTCGCACAGCTCCCCGGTCTGCGCCTTGATCACCCAGTGGCTGTTTACGTCCTCCTTCTGCTCCACGCCCGTCACCGACTGCTGGCCGGATCCGGATCCGTACTTGACGTCGTGGGAGTGCAGGCGGAAGGAGTAGTCCGAGTTGAGGAGCTTCAGGATGGAGCCACAGGTGACCACGTTGGATTCCGTGGCTGTATTTAGCAGGGAAAAGATGTAATACAAAGATAAACATTAATGATAGCCACAAAAGGCTCCGAAAGAGTGGCGGCCAATCACAGAAGACCACATAGACGCGACTTTCTTCGAGGTCGAAACTTACCGGCACCCCTGCGAATGCTGACCACCAGCAAAAGTCCAGTGAGAAGTATTGCGTGCTGCATCGTGTCCCGTTCTAGCTATCCTATCCTAACTCGTGGACTTAAGTCAGCCAATGTGTGCCGGCAATTGCGGTTGAAATCTGGGTTGAACACGCAAACAATTGGTTTTTTGACAGTACTAGTGTGACCAGGCGGCGGTAAAATCCGTTTTACGGATCAACCACAAAAAAAATAAATAAAAATACTGTAATACATTGCGCATTGCTGTAACTTTTTCCATTAACCCTTTAAGTTTTAAGTAGCTATAAATGTTTGAAATAGGAAAAAGTAATGGTAGTCTTTTCAAAAAACAGTTTATAAATTTTAAATATCAATTTCGATCCTATTCAGCCACTTAAACTTATTTCTTGATTAATTATTTAAATTTAATAAATGTTTTATCGTCAAGCAAATCTTTACTATATATGTTTTTAAAAGTAATTTTAAAACTTAATGCATCAAAAGGAACTAGTTCAGAATAAGATAATTCGTCAGTATTTTCTATGCACCAGTCAAGTGCGGTCACTCTGCGAAATTGCAGGGAAATTTTATCCAATAAAAGGCAAGAAAACTGAGGAAAATTGAAATTAAAGAAAAATTAATGGCACACAAGCGCCTGTTCGTCTACGCTGTGCTACTGGCGATATGTTATTTGGTTGGCGTGACATGGGTAAGATGATTGGCCACATCCCACGATTGCCACTAATCCGGTTGTATTCCCTTCAAAAATCAACAAAGGCTGAGACTGCGGCGCAGGCATTGCCAGCGATCGGCACCAACAACAACAGTAATGCCAGCCAGATGGGCGCTCCACCTGCTCCAGTGGCTGCAGCGACACCTGCAAAGCAGGTTCCAGCCCCCACTGCGGCGCCTCCGCTCAAGGTCATCGGGCAGCCTGTGCCCAGTACTCCTGGCCAGAGTTCTTCCAATTCAAGCAAGACAACCGAGTGGTAAGTGGTGGTGCACCAGCAGAAAACGCCATAGTAGCGAGTCTAGAAACTTAAAGCCTAGTCCATATTAATATTTGCTGTGGTCCAATATAAAATGTAGTTTTAAAAGTGCAATCCCTTTCATCGCAGTTGGTTTTTCTACTTTGCGATATGATTAGTGTTTTGCAAATTAATAATTAAAGATGTGGTTTTCTACTTACATTTTCGCCCATGAATGTACATATATATTTTATTTTTGTCTTTCATGTTACTGAAACTGTTGAATCCATACTTTAAAATTTCATTTACATTAAAAACTTTAAAAATTAGTTGGCATAGAACTTTAAAAATTAATTAACATTGATAAATGTATAAATGGCCATGATTCCTAGCAATGAGCTAACCTTTATTTGTTCTACTATTAATATGGAGTTCATTTCCCTTAATCATCTGCTACACATTACCATTTTAGCGTCTGTGCCGGTGCACTGCTGCCACGCTTGGATGCCAATGGCAAGGAACTGCCCATCTGCGCAGAGTGCAAGTGCTCCCATGTGGCCAGAAATACGACGCTGATAAAGGTTGGCCATTCGAATGTGCAAAAGCCTTCCGTACTTAACTAGCTCTCTCCTCTATCCAGGTCGTGGTCATTATTGTGATTTGGATCATCTCCATTTTAGTGATATACATGCTCTTCCTGATGTGCCTGGACCCGTTGCTGAACAAGCGAGTGAAGGCGAACTACCAGGAGCACACCAACGAAGATGTACATAACAAGCATTCTAGATACAAGGGCATTCAGTATAGCCTTCTAGTTACAGCCCAAGGCGCAGATGATGATGATGAAGATGTTGATGCCGATGCGGCTCAACTAGTTGGCAATAAAGAAGCACCACTCTTTTGAATAGATTTTAATTTCGACAACCCCCTTTGTTTCATTTTATGTTTTAGATTTTGTTGACTTCTTAACCCACACCGCCAATTCATTAAGACACTAACCGCATAGCCAGATCTTGGATCACCTCGACTAATCCCAAATTTCTCCACCCCTTTCTAACCAGGACGAACCGACCCCGCCTTTGCCATCCGTTAACAACCAGGAGCTCAGTGCCAGAGCCAATGTACTCAATCGTGTGGGCCACCAGCAGGACAAGTGGAAGCGGCAGGTGCGCGAGCAAAGACGCCACATCTACGACAGGCACACCATGCTAAACTAACAAGGCGTCAGTTTGCAGCTGGAGGAGATTAGAAGGAGCATGGGCGACTTAAGACACGTATTCCAAGCAGTTATCCTTGCAAAATTCCACTTTGGATTAAATTGAATATCTGTATATTTACCCAGATTTTATGTTAATTAAATTATTCCCGAAAATAAGTTTGGAAGGCGTGTCTTTGTATTTTAGTTAACAAGTTGGTGGGAAGAAAGAACTAGAAATATGTTTCGAATAAAACCTATAAATGATACTAATAGATGCGTTAAGGAAAACAAGGACTATTCATTTTAATCTGCATTACTCTTAAAACATCGCGCTTTTTATTTGAGGTCTAAAATTTTGACGGTTGAGACGCAAGACTATAAGTGACAGAAAGAACCTGTCGTAGAACTCAAGCTTTGGGCTCGTCTGGTTTTAATGGTAGGTCAAAAGGATTTGGATTACGGCTTCTTAGCCTAACAGCTACTGCTTATTTCTATCAAAACGATAGATTGATTCGCAAATAGTTTCTATCACACCGCCTTCCGCATATAATTAATATATCAAATATATTATTTTCAGCCACATTTATTTTTAATAAATCATGTAACCACATATCCTTAGAGAAGTGGTTTTTTATGCAAAACCGCCGAGCTAGACCTAAACTAAGTTCATTCAGAATCGGAGGTTCTAGTATCCTTTTATGGTTTCGGCGAACGTCCAGTTTTCGTTAACCTGGAAGGGTCCCTCCACGTCGCATCCTTTGGCGCTGCACACGCCCACTGTGAATTGGGAAATGTTACGAGTATCGCGGTAGTATAGCACCTCCATGCATGTGCGGATCTAAAATAGAAAGACAATGATCAATGAAATCAATTTCTAATTATATATCATACTCGTACATATTTTCTTTTAACGCTTGGAATCCCATAACTGTGTTTTTTCCTTTTTTTAAATGTTTATGTCCATGTTATATGTTATGTCTATTCAAATAATAGTCCCCATCAGAGTTCGAAGTTACTTACCAGTTCGGAAGCTTCTACGGCGGTAAAGTCCCTGTCCTTGGGCTTCTTCTCACGGACCAGCGGAATGGCCAGATGGCGGGCGAAACCAGTGGCCACCACGTAGTCCTCGTGGGAGCGTCCACGAAGATCCACGTTGGCCAGGTACGGAGTTCCCTCGTTGTCCACGCCCCCGACAACCACGTCAATGTAGAGGGGGTTCATGCGGGATCGACGGTTATAGAGCACACGGGTCATCCAACTGGCCAGGGACTTAGGCTTCATCTCAATGTTGTCGTCGTAGCATTGGTCCTCGATCATCTTCTGGTCGATGTTGCGCTTGATGGACTGGATGTCAGCGAAGTCGCCGCTACCGCCGAGCAGGATGTTCTTGTTGATCTTGAAGACGCGCTCAATGTTTTGGTAGCGGGCCAGGGATCCGTAGGACACCAGGGTGTCGGCGGCGAGCATCACGCCTGCATCGTAGCGAATGCCCAAAACGGAGGAGCCCGTGGTGATGGCAGCACTGCGGAATAGAAAATGGTGTATAAGCAAGTGGCACAACTGGAACATATCCTCAGTTCCTACGTGCTGTGCTGGGTTCCATAGGGTCCCACTGTGGTCAGTTCCCGCGGCAGCTGCTGGACCGGCGTCTGTCCGCCCGTGAAGTTGTAGAACGCGCCGGGAGCGGGTCCGTTTTGCCACAGGGGCTGCGCCAGGCTGTTGTAGTTGTTCAACATGGTAATTTATTCGGAGACTGGCTTAATCGAAAACTTTGAAATGTTTGTCGCTGCCAGAGAATGACGGGCACAAATAAAATCCAGAGTCAGCGCAGTGTGGACAGACTTTGACGGCCGCCAATACCACTGTCGGCAAACGGTACCTAAAAATACCGGACATACCAAAGTTTGACCTAATACTAGCCTGGTCACATCGTTTTAAAAGAGTATACTAGATTCGTTGAAAAGTATGGAACAGCAGAAAGGAAACGTTTCCGACTATATAAAGTATATATAGTCTTGACCAAGATCTATAGCGGAGTTGATCTGGCCATGTCCGTCTGTCCGTCCGCTAGAAAGTTGAGATTAAGCATGCAGACTCCAGAGACTGTTAACTTTAATATGAGTTCGATCCGAGATCTTTTTAAGTATAGCCTTTTCATGTATACTCTTACATGAAGAGTAGTTACTACTCTTTGAAATGATGAAACATCAAAAACGTTCATTTAATCCAAGGCCATGGTCAATGCAGTTACAGAGTCATGAGCAATGAACTTAGTAGTGCTGCTGGTCGATCTAGGAAATCAATATCTCCATTACCTTCGCATATCGATCTCCCACAATTTTTAAAAAGGAATAAAGTTGTCTCACTGATACCTCAAATGCCAAGTAATATCCCTATTTATTCATATTGGAGGAAGGAACCCCCACGATACGGGTGAAAATAGTTTTTAAGAACCCAACGAAAATGTTTTGATCAGACCTTATAAATGAATAATAAATAATTATGAATTTTAATTCATAAAAACATATTTTTATTGCCAGTATACCAGTACACAATTTGTAAATATATAGGTATGTAAGTAATGCTTCCGAGGGGAATGCTTCGGTTGCTGTCGCATCTTTTAGATGCCATAATACAGTCGCTAATATCAGTTGCTTTATTGAGCTATGCTAAAAACAATGACGGGGATTTCCGCTCTTTAACACGGGTCATATACGAACAAGAATACCCTACGCAAAACTAAGAGCTACATGTCACGGCCAATGATTGATGCTAATTCTATTTGCTTAAAACTTCTAGTCTTTGCAGCAGCAGTAAACATTATCGCTAGAGCTAGTTGGGGTTGCCGGCATGATGCCGCCCTTGAGGGGCTTGCTGTAGGAATGGGGGCCCCGCATGAAGACCTCGATGAGCTGACAATGTGATCTGCAAGGTACGGGAGTGTTAAATAGCGATTTTTTGGAGTTAAATGTGCACCTAACTCACCGCATGGTTATGTCCAGGTCAGTAACCACCTCTCCGTCACAGTTCCAGCTGGAAAACTCCGTCGAGGAGGAGTTGGCAGCCATTTCTTCAGGCGGAGTTATCGGCTGGCAAGACCCTGCCAAGCTGTAGTCTTCCTCGCCAGCGGAAAACGTTCTGAACTGGAATTCCCTTGTCCGATATACCTCCACAAACGGCAAATTGCGCTGGAATGGGTAGATGTTTTTTAATTTATTTATACCCGTTTTATACTCTTGTTTTAATTGTAATTCATTTAATTAGAAGGTGTAGTGATTTGGTGTAAGGGTAAATACGCGTTTCGGATAATGATTTCCTTTCTTCTTTTTGTGGTAAAGCTGGCAGCTCATTTATTTTAGTTTGGAGAAATGCTAGGGTGTAAAAGTCTGAGGACTTTCATGCCTATTTAAAATAGTACTTACTATATCGCCGCTTCTGCCCGCTGTGTTGAGCAGAAAACGCACGTTGTTAAGCAGCGAGGTCTTTTTCACCAGAATCAGGTCCAGGCAACCATCACCCAGGTGACTGTAGCGGGAGATGCCATTGGGACTCCTGGCGCAGGCACATGTGATGTTCGCTCCGCAGATCATAAAGAAATTGCCCCGCACAACCTTCCATTGATCGTTGCCGAGATTTCTCATTGAGGAAATGGAGCCAGTGGGCAATCGAAGATTTCCTGGATGTGGACGAGGCCTCAGCAATGCATCTTCTCTTGCGGCGAGATGAGAGTCCTCCGTTTCCTCCTGCTGACTGCGCTCCGCCTCTGCGGATTCCTCCTGTATGTACAATGAAGATCGCTGCTCCTGTATGCTGCTAGCGAAGCTGCAGCGCTGGCAATTGGCATAGCAGATGGAGGGCACTGACTCTCCCAGCGAGCACACGCTGTCCGGACTCTGCGGAACGACCTCCAGCGGCGTGGTCAGCGGGAGATCGGGCTCCTCCAACATTCTCAGTTCGGCGTCATAGCCACGATTATTCAGAAAGGCCTTGACGCCACTATACTCGTACCGACGCGGTCCCATCCAGCGGTAGTTCTCGCTCTGGGCTGCCACATCGCCCAGGTACCCGTAGCTCAAGACACTGGCACAGAATCTAAGCAGGGACTGGCCATTGCTCACACTGCACACATCTAGGCCCCGATGCTGGCCCAGAATCACATGGATGGCCGCTGTCCTCACATCCGCCGTGCCGTGCATACTATAAGCTATGGTGTCGGTGCTGCCAGCGGGGATCACGCCCACTGGCAGTGCCGGCCTTGGAATGTAAGGTGGCCGCTGTTCGTCCAGTCCAAGCTCCCGCATTTGCCGAAATATCAATCCGTTTATGACTTCTGCCACGGTGCCATCGCCTCCGACACAGCAAACCGCATCGTATACTCCGAGATCATGGCTCAGAAGAATGTCTTTCACTTGGTTTGCCCTCTGAGTGGTGATGCACGTGGCGTCCACCCCAGCAAGCTGGAAAATAGGTCTTACATGGCGCTCATAGGTCTGAGCTCCCGCCTTGCGACCTCCATAGGGGTTTATAAAAACCAACAGGCGGCGCACTCGCATCCGTGCGGGGGAAGAGCTATGCAGACGGATTTGCAGCTCCTGGTCCCACTGCCTCACTATGTATGGGTCCGAGTTAAAGAATGTGAGTCTCCTTAGCTCCCACCGATTGCAATCCGTTTGAGACTTGCTCAGCCTCATGGCATAGTTGATGGTCAGGTACTGACTGGTGGGCTTTCCTGGCGCAACATCGCCACTGCATCTGGAACTGCGTTCCGAGACTGGTGGCGAAGGCGGTTTCAGGGAGCTCGCCTTGGTATCCCCGCTCCTTATGCTAACCACATCGTCCAGGTGAAGCACGTTGCTTTGTGGGCCATAAGAGCAGATTCCGCCTGGTTGAGAAGGCGAGTCCGGCGGCAACGGTGCCTTGGTCTCGTTTCCTTGGGGCGAATGCTTTATCTTCTGCAGCCGCTCCCAAACCAACTGCTGCCCATGTAGCAGTACTCTGTAGCTCTTCTTCTTTAGCTGGAAGTTGTTCAGCAGGACATCGTGGGCGGAGGCGGAGCAGGGTGTGAACTTGGAGGCACTCGTGGAGCTAACAGGGGCCACTAAGTCCCCGACCGAGGTGGACGACCGCCCTGCTGGCTGCTTGGTCTGCGTCATCTTGACTGCTCTTCGTCTCCGTCTCCCGCTATGTCGTCGGCTTTGTCGGTACTAAGAGAAGAAAACGGGTTTCAGTTAGAAATACCGTGAAACTTCAATAATTAAAAAAAATGTTAAAATTAAACAAAAAATTTCCCAGGGTGAAAAAATATGCTCTCGAGTTAAAGACCCTTTCATATTGTTTAGTTCAAGTTAAAGAAGTTAAAGCTAAAGTGGCAGTATTGGTTTAAGAAATGTCTGACTGTATTTTAAATCGCAGTAAGAGGCAGTGAAGCTGGGGGTTGTTAGTTACTCCTCGCAATAAATCTCAGTTACGACGCTCCATTCTCTTTCCGTTCGATGTTCGACCTTTGTGACTTTTTCAGCTCACGTAAAGGTGGGCTTTTCAACTCTTAATTACTTACTGAGAGGTGTTGATAATGACAATAGGACGGAAAACGCAGAGGGGACTGGGACAGCCTCAGTCAACTCCACGGAGTCATATTCAAAGCTCTGCCACGGTCCTCTGCACCTGATGGCTTTTGTCATTAGCATAGACTCGTAAATATTTCAGAGATTTTAATTCGTTGTTATGACGATAATAATGATAAATATGACGATGATAATGACGAGTAATTGATTATGCCATTAGAAAAGTATAATTGCACTAGGCGGCAAAATGTCGCATCTGATTACACAAATATTAAAGTATTTTAAATGCTAAGTCCACTTATGATTCACAATCGCTAAGAATAAAAAATGTCAGTGATTACGATAACACTCCAATGAATGTGTTTATACAATATGCAATCATACAACAATTTAACGACAAATATTTTTAGGATTAACCTCAATTAAATCGGCGCTTTGTGATAAGCAACGGACCATTCTCATGCAAAATAGCTTTTGAAATACTTTTCAAAGGGTTCTATTTGCCTTTGCAAATAGGTTTTCAGTGGCAGATAATTGCACATGTTCAAAAATGTATCGCTATATTTATAGCTATATGCACGAACATTGCGCGATTCTTGTTCACAGCTCGCTGAACTGAGCAATCAGGAAAAATGTGCAGAAAAAAGTGTAAAAAACTGGTTTAAATTGTATGCCACTCAGTGGGAAGGGAAAACAAAAAGTACAATGCAGGTACCAGCAGAAAATGAGTTGAACGAACTCTTGATTGCAGTTTTCGAGGTTTTGGGCAGAGAAAAAGCTTTCGATAGGTATAAGTAAACAAAGATCAAGAAAACGTGTCAGAAGCTAAAGCTATAAAATACTACTTAAAGTATGTACTTAAAAGTTCCAGTGTGAATCATAGCACACTTAGTCAGAACCAAACAGGTTCCGATTTATATTCCTGTTCCGATCGTAAACGATTGCTTTGAACTTGGCCAAAGAGAATTCAATATTCCCATCATATAGCAAATGGGATAAACATCTTCGACCAGCGTTTAACAATGAATCTCTATATTTCACAACCGCGGAGAACAGTCCCAACACCTTCAAACATGACTTATGTATGCAAATTAGTCTTTGGTTAGCTACTAGCACAGCAGACTGTGTTGTTGCTAATTAGAGAGTCGCACGCCGAAAGCTGAACTCGCACCAAAAAGCAACGAAGCGTCTCAAGGTCAACGGCGATCGACGGCACCCAAAACACGCAAAATTGGTTTCAGAATCTGAGTGAAGAAAGCGTACCGGAGAAGCTGTAGTCGATTCCGAGGCAGTTGGAAAACGGGTTCTGCTCAGGCGGGTTGCATGCAGCCGGCGACCTTCGCCTTGAAACGCTCGAGTGATATTGGCCAGCCTGCGATAACCGGCTGTTGGTTAAAATCTGGCATTAAAACCACCTTGGACCTTGCCCACACTTGTACCCGAGCTGCATGCTGGTCTAAGTCGCATTTCCTACCTTTATATCTTGACATTGGCGGAGGAGAACGGCTTTTGGGTTTGCTAGTTTGCTAGCCAAATTGTTTGTTTAATTAATTTTGGGTAGGTGCCTGATATATTGCTTGCAAAAACAGAAGCTAGGCTGTAATAATAAATTAGCCTTGACATTGAAAATAATTGCATTTAGCCATAGTTGTATACTTATAGTTTTATTCGTTTTCTTTTCTGTCTGGCAATTAGCTGGCTTCTCTTGACAATAAATTATATATTTGCTTATTTGTGAGCGTTTAAAACTTGAGCTTTATATAGTACTAAATGTTATTTTTATAACTAGAACAAAAGGTACCTCACCTCTTGAATTTGGTTTATGTTCAACGCAATGATAATTCCCCTTAACATTTATAGAACTTGCTTACCGGCATGCTGTATTTGACACACTCGAATAACCCAAACACGTTCTTCATAAATGTAAATTAAAAACAAATTAACAGCAAAATAAACACATATACTCATCTCCAACTTCTCAGAACAAATCATTCATACGCCCCAAATGCCACTCACCCGAGAACAGAATAGCAGGCAGAAGACATGAAGCCCCTCGGGCAATGTGTTGATTTATAAATTTAATAAAATATGAGCATATTATACATTATATGTACATAAATGTTATAAATGCTATAAAGAATCGGAACCGGGGAACTGAATCGTTTTCCCCTTAGCTGCGACGGTGTTTTCATGCACAACACTGTAAGTTGTAATAAATGCTGATAATATAACAATTAATAATAGACCCTTTTGTTTTAATGATGCATTATGATTACCCTCAACTACTCGCATGCTGCTAATTGCCTAACACGAAAGCGATCTGTTGCGACTAAGTGTCACCGTAAATTAGTGCTAAGTGGACAACGATTTGTATTTTGTACTTACTCGTTTTTCGCCCTTTAATCTACACTGGCTTATCAGAAACAAACAATAACAATCGAGTGCTTTAGTACCCTATGTATAGACACGTACGATCATTTTTTTAGTATATGCTATAAGATTGATAATATCAAGCCTCGGTTAACTTGAAAGGTCTAATCAATATTTTCGTTTATCTATAGACCGGGTTGTTTATCATTTAAATGCTTGTACAATGGGAACTTTGCCATATACAGCACTAATACAGATGTATCTAAATTCATTTGGCGCTTGACAATATGTGACTAACAGCCACATAGCGGAAACTACATTCAGCGAGTAAATTGATAAGCAGACAAAAAGTTTGGATGGAATGGAAGGAGAATGTTCTCGGTGTATATATCAAACAAACAAATACGTCAATCTTAAATTCAAGAAGTACTGTTAATATTGAGTTTCCTGTAGTACCGGCAGTCCCACACATTGAACCTTGTTTCAGCCCTTTTTTCGTTATCCAATCTTGACCCGCTTTGTCGCTGCCATATATCAACCCACGTCTGAACTTTTCGACGGTGCACGCAAGCCACAGCCAAAATAGCAAAAGCAGAGCTACAAAATATTATAAATAACGTGGGGCGAGTTCCTTCTGACACGAAAGGGTCATTATTCAGCGCAAAAGGGCAGATGCTCTGCCAAGATCAAAATAGACGTAAACGAACAGGCTTTCTGCTAAATTGCATGCCTATTCGATATTCCAGAAAGAAATTTCCTTAAAGTGCAATGGATTTGTACAAGGAGAAAAACGGTACAGTAGATACTCGACAGAAAAAAATGTTATAGTTCTGAAAATGTTTTGAAAATTTGAAATCGGGCTTAAGTCCTTTTAGTATATCAAAATAAATTATTATTGTATGAGAACAAAATTAAAAATAAGTAAATACTGCTATTACAGTTTAAATGTGACTTGCTTCAATACTCGGCGAGTATTTTCTGTATGTTTTTGAACAGATCTTGTTCTCGTTTAAGTTTTATTAACTGGCACTGCACTTCCCACAAAGTGCGTAACACTTTTGCTGATTTTTGTATTGTCTGTCGCATATTCAGCAATTTTCCACTTCTAATTGCCGACGTGAATAAAAATATGCAACGCAAAACGCGCGGGGAAAATAAAAGCACTGCAATCTCAGAGCCTGGGGCATCCAATTCTCAGCTGCTATTAAGTCACATTTAAAATAAAATAGAAGATCATTGTGGTTAGAAGTGTGAACTTAGTAGACTTTGTTTTTATGTTAAAATAGCTAAGAGTATGGCAGCATCGGCATCGACATCGATACTTTGCGTGGGTGGCACCACGCACCCCCGAAACAATAACAATTCACCTATACACCGAAAAGTCCGGTTCTTCTGCTGTACAGAGCAAAGGGGGCAGACAGGGACAGCTGTCATTTCCATACTCTGAGTGCCGTTATCAGAACGCAATACAGCTGTGGAGCAGCAACAACTCAGCTGTTGACAAGAATACATGAATGTGTGTATACAAGCGTAAGGGTGTGTGCGTGAATGTAGGGGTATGTGCGTCTGGCTTGAGTTTCTGCGTTTAATTCCAACTTAGGTGCCCGTGCACTTAAGCCCTATTCTCGTTGTTCCAATTGGCGGTCCGGACTGGATTGGTCGGTCTGGTTGGAAAACTCACCTGGTAGACAAGTAGGTACGTTGTTCCATACAAGTGCAGCAGCACTCGAAGCAGTTGCACTCTTTTTCCTTCTTTTTGTGGGGAAATCAAGGAAACTCGATACGGATGTGCATTGCAGTATTTTTCGATTACACACAAACACACACACACAATTAGAAAATCGGCGACATGCAATTGGAGCTAATGGCGTTTCGGCATCTCCCAATTTCCCGCTATTCAGCCATACTTTCAACCTCCTTTCCGCTGGAGCAGAAAGAATTCACGAGAACACCAGAAATGCACTTCCGTGCCGTTACAAGAAACACAAGCGTACAAATCGAAGCGAAGTGGACGTCCGCTCGCCAGTGTGACCGCACTGATAACTGTAGGAAATACAAATCTGAGCACCGACTTCAATAAAATACCTCACATTCGGGTCTGGGGTATTCTCAAATCCGCTGAAAACCAGGGCTGAATTAAAATTCCTGGCAACTCAACTTAATCACTGTACGCGATACTTTTGTACAATTTTTGTTTACCTCAGAAAATAAGTAGGAATAAAAAAGTTGTAGATTTTTTCAGCTGAGATATTCTTTTTTAAAATTTCAAACAACCGTTAAATTTAAAAATTAATTTACAGTTTTTTTAATATGAAATAATAAAACACACAAATAAAACAAAAGCTAAAAGTTTGTTCGTCCCCAACTGTCAACTTTGTCCAGATCAAGTGCGCGGCCACTCATTGTGGCTCCATACGCTTACGCCGTCGGTGGTTTTCGCCACGATCACTTTAGTCCTCCCAGCATCAACGACATCCCATGACGCTCCTTTAGAGTCAACAGTTTTCCCGGCTGGGCAACAACAACTGGAGCAAAGCCAGGAACGCCAACAGTCAACACCAACAACAACGAATGCTCAACGGTCACTAATCCAATGGGAGACTGTTGGTCCAATGGCACTAGAATAACCAGATGCGTAACGGCCATAGGTGGGTGGAACGCCGACGGACCTGCCAAAAAAGCCATACTATAGACATTGTCAATTAACGGAAAGCGCTTTTTGGTTAAGTCCAGTCCAGTTACTTTTGTTAAAATCCGTTTGGCGGAATAATAATTGTTACACATACATCTATACATAAATTCCCGAGGACGTTTCTTCTTCTTTTCAAAATACCTCAAGGAATTCATCGGGATTTGCTCTAGAAAATACCTTCCTTTTTCGATATTCCCAGTAATTCCTCGGGAATTCCTGAGGCTATTTCCGAGGACTTCTTAGGCAACTTCGAATGTCTGTTCCATGAAAGTTACTCGCCGCTTTGGGAAATTCCCTAGGAATTCTCGAGGATTCCTGCGGACTCTTTCTTCTGGATTTCTTAGTAATATTAAAAGCTCGTTCGGACTGCATCATCAATAACCTTTGTACAGGCAGGTGGAGCCCCTAAGAGGATTGCCCTCTCCACTTCTCCAGCTACAAGTATGGATTTAAGGGAATCTATTATTTTCCTTATATTATATATTTTCATTATATTATATTGTAAGCCTTTAGGCAGTAAATTGTATTGCTATAGACATATTTGGTTATTATAAATTCGTTAAGCATAAAGGAATGCATAGAATGCAAGCTATACACTTATGTAAGGTATACCAGTAAAACCCGATTAGAGATCTCGTTCCGGAATTGTCAGTTTAGATTTACCTGCTTGTAGGAAAGCCTGTAGGGACAATTACATCTAAACCTTTACATTCAGAAAATGTGTGAGTATCAAATGGACTGTAGATTGCAAACCACAGAACGCTAATCCTTCCGCCGGCAGCGTCTCCGTGTGGCAAGTGCAACAACTGTCCATGCGGCACCAGCGGCGGAGCTCCACCCCCTCAGCAGCCGCCCCACCGTCCACCCCCCTCTTACGCTCACCAGCCACAGCAGCAGCCAGACAGCTGTCCCTATCCGGGTCCCCAGGGGAAAGGAGCAGGCGGCTGCCAAGTCAACTCGACCCAGCCGTCAGGCGAACCCGCAGCATGCAGCCTGTATCAGAGCCGAGGAGCCCCCACCGTCGAGTGCACGTGCACCCAAAACCGCAGCCGGCCCCCTCCGCCCTCCGTCCAGGCGGATCACATCACGTGCAGCCGGGGTCCGCGGGAGCAGCCGCCTCCCCTAGAGACCCGCTGCACTTGTCGCGAGAAGCCCGCCAAGATGGAGTGCCACTGTGCCCCGCCGGTGGCCCCGCCCCCTAACCAACAGCAGCAGGCGATGGCCCAGCCCACCTACGCCAACGTGACCTGTGGCCAGAGCCTGCCCAGAGGTCCGCAGCCCTATCGCCCACACCATGGCCACCACAGCCAGAACCAGAACTCCTGCGGTCACTGCCGATCGCAGAAGAAGCAGAAGAAGTGCGTCATTCAGTGACGTTGGGGTGGAGCTACAGGAGAACGTTGAGATCCCAGCAGGCGCTACGGAGCAGGCTACACAGATTACACCACTCACAACATGACAGACCTCCCGAATTTCGGGATAGCCAAATTACCAGTTTTGCCCAGATTTCCGGGTCAATAAAGCCAATGTGACCGCTAATGGGCAAGTAAAACAGATAGCAGTGTGTCCGTTTAATACATCAGTGTCTCTTTCCGGATAGGGAACAGACCGAGAGCCCGTCAAGTGGGTAGAATGACATCGCAACCCTACTACGAGGAGGACATCTTCCACGGAAGCCATCGGAATACGGCGCGGAAACGCAGCCGCCACTGCTTCGTGATTCGCTCACAAAGGCCTCCGAAGGGCGTGCCTGTCATAGATGGGGAAACTCGGTGCTGCTGCACTCCGCCACCGACGGTAAGCCCTTGTCCATGTCCGCCCACTAAGCCCCGCCAGCGATGCTGCTGTGCCTCACCAACGGAGCCTGGAAGGCAAAGGGTTTGCTGCTCCTCCGGGAACAAGGCGCAGGGATGCATTTGCAACTGCCCTGGCAGCGGGCATGGCGGACCAGCGGAGCGGAGGATAAAGGTGTGCCATCCGGATGCATACCCCGTGCCTGAGGTTCTGAAGACGAAGCAGATGTACCTTCATCCGTTGGGTGCTAGATGCAACGGTGAGGATCGGAGAGTGGAGCAGCCCAGGACGGAGGAGCCAATTCTCTTACAGCCAGATCCACAGTCTGAGATTCCATACAGCGACTCCATACGATCCTTTCAGCCCGCTGTTCACGCGATAAATGAAAACTGTCAGGATCCCAACGATCCCTATTATCCGTATCCCCCTAGAAGCAGGCGCCTGCAGGAAGTGGATCCTCTAGTCAACTTCGATCTGAATCGCTTCGATAGGGATGCTACCCATCGAGGTGCCGCAGGCAGAAGAAGGAACGTCTCCATTCGCACCTGCGTCGACTACGACTACGAGCCGGGATATTCAGCTCGAGAGAACACATATTCAGCTGCAAATTCTCAGCCAGGAAATCGACATCCACAAGCTCACTCCGGACGTGCACGTCCTCAGCCTCCCCCCGTATATTTACCTTCAAGATCCCGACCCCCTCCGGCATACCAGCCTTTATATGAATCGAACCCTCATGGTTGTTCGTCCCCTCCCGCAGCATTCATACCAAGAACCCGCCCACCCGCAGCATTCCAGCGGCAATATCATCCCAGGTCTTCTCCGGGATCATATGGTTTGTATTCTCCAGATTATCCGAGCTCGTGCGATTAATTTTCCCATTTTCCATTCAGAAAATACTGAGATCGAGTACGTTAAGTGTCCGTATAGATGATGGTCAAACATATATCGAACTATGAGGTAAGTGTTTCATTTGTCTATAAAATGCCATACAAATGTGTGGCTTAAGGTATTCTTGCATTTTATGAGCTCGAAAACTGTAAACTCATTTTATATGTAATGTTCTACGCTTCACTACAATCGTTCAAATATCAAATATTCGATATTATTCTATTTGATGTATACATATTCAAGTGCCCATTTAGTAGAAATGCAGCCCTGAAAGTTTGAGAGTCACTGATAGTGCTGCGCACTGCTCTTTAGTGTTGGAAAGCGCAGGCCGCAGTGCCGAAGAAGAAGACCACGCGTGCAAAACACGCCGCATTGTATTGTTTTATTTCGATTATAATAAAATAAATAGATTATAAATAATAGAAATGGATGATGCAGACTACGACAACGACGAGTTAGTGCAGGCGTAACATATTTGATAACCGTACCCATTAACGACCACTCCACCAATTGCAGCGTTGGCGGGGATGACTTCGACGATGTCGACGAGGACGTGGACGAGGACATTAACCAGGAGGAGGAGGCGGACAACATCGAAATCATAGCCCCCGGAGGAGCGGGTGGCGGAGGTGTGCCCAAGTCCAAACGAATCACCACCAAGTACATGACGAAATACGAGCGCGCCAGAGTTCTGGGCACACGAGCGCTCCAGATCGCCATGTGCGCACCTATCATGGTGGAGCTGGACGGTGAAACGGATCCTCTGCAGATAGCCATGAAGGAGCTCAAGCAAAAGAAAATCCCCATTATCATCCGCCGATACCTGCCGGATCACTCGTACGAGGACTGGAGCATCGACGAGCTTATCATGGTGGACAACTAGTACTCAACCCATTTATTCATAATAAAACAAACCGACTAAGATTAAGTACAATTCATGTGGTTGTTGCCTTCCCGGGGAACTAACGTAAGGGAGGATGTCTATCAATGTGACGACAGATTCCACTTTCCCTGCACCTATAGTATAATAATATAATTTACTTGCTATAATATAGATACTTGCTGCCATGCGTTTGGTACCAGAAATAATATCACCACGGTTTTGCTATAAACGTTTTTCTAGTAAAATATTTTATTTCACGTAACAAATGTACAGATTAAGAAAACAGCTGCCCTTGAACACTTGGTCTTTAGCTCCAAGCATATCCCTCATCCTTTTGATAGCAAACGCGCTCCAGAAGACCGACGGCATGTTGGCCAGTGCGGCAGATGGAGCCCACTACTCCTGGTAGCAGACCGCACTCCGAAAGATTCTGCTCGCCAAAGACCTGCCCGGCGGCATCTTCTCCTTCTGCATTTGACTGTGGCTTTTCCGGACTCTCGAGCAGCTTTTGGGTGGCCTTGCTAAAGGCCAGCGTATTGGTGCTACTGGCCAGCGTGGAGCTAAACATCTGACGCGTCTCGGACAGCAGCTCCGCAACGCTAGGCAGGAATGTAGGTAGGATCAGGCCCTTTATGTCTATGCTGAAGTAGTCGACGCCGTCCAGGCGCACCTTCTTGGACCGCGGAACCAAGTGCTGCATGGTGGCCTTGGGGAAGGCAACTGGCGACAGCAGAGTGGGAGGCACTCCGGCCAGACGGCCCACTGTGCTGATGGCACTCTTGGCATTTAGGAGATAGCTAAAGAAGCCCTGGCACTCCACGCCGTCGACCAGCAGCAGAGAATTGTCGCTAAAGTCCTCTCGCATTTCGGCAGCTTGTTGCTTCCTGGCGTGAGAGGACTGAATACGTCGCAGCTCGCGCTCATCCACGCCCAAGCTCTCCAGCCAGTCCTCGTCGTCGTCTTCATCTTCCTGGGCCTGCGGAGGAGCATCTTCCCCCGCATCTGGCCCCAAGGAGCTGGTAGTGCTCTCCTCGGTAAAACTGTTGTCGTGCGCGTTTCCAGAGGTCTCGCTCTTAAGAGGCATGCTGAACTCGATGCCCTCCTGTCGGAGAGCTTGTCGCATACCCCGAGTCGAGGGCGTGACCAAGGCGTGGCTCTCCGCCCGACCGCCCACTCCAGCAGCTCGGAACAACACCGTAAAGGTGTTGGCACACAGGTAGAAGTAAGGGCACTGACGGGCACGTAGCAGCTGGAATAGTCCCCGGAAGCTGTAGTCCCACTCCTCGGCCAAAGCCTTGCGTTCCCGCTCGCCCACCACCACACCCACGTTCTCCTTGGCTGTGCGCGGAAAGAGAGTCAGCCAGGGCAGGTGCGGATGCTGCCAGTAGTAGTTGCATTGGTTGAACCGCGTGGCGTCCGAGATATCCAGCGTGCTGTCCGTACGCTGCGGATCCATGCAGCGCACGAAGCTGGTAAGTCCGCTGGCCAGCTGCGAGGTCTTCAGTTGGATGGCCGGTAGCTCCGTGGGACAAAAGAAGCGGGCCCGAGTCTTCAGGGACCAGTCCACAGGTAGGTGTGGGGTGTGCTTCTGCCGGGCGGCCAACTCCGCATCCTCCTCGTCCTCAGCTTTGATTTGGGGCTGCTGAAAGAGCTTGGCAAAGGCTTGGGGGTCGTATTTTTGGAGCACGAACTTCGTGGGCGGCGGGCGCGTGGGCGTTTCCCGCACAAAGCAGGAGGAGGCAGTGACCACCGGTCCGAGGTCCGGCAGGTGCGGATCAATGCAGAATTTCTTGGCATCGTCTGTGGATCTGGAGGAGGCAGTGAGGAATTAGGTCTTTGGGAGAGAGAGGAACTCACTTCGCAAATGGATTCTTTCGCTTCTGGGCGAGCTTAGCCTCTAGTAGCTTGCTCTTATCCGTCTCATCCACTTGAAGTCCTGGCCGCCTATTGTTGTTGTTGCTCACGCGGGCGGCCAATTTGTTCTTTTTCTGCTTAAGCCGCTGCAGTTTGATGAACTGGAAAACGAAACAATGATATCAGTGGCGGGCAGGTGCTCCTCCGAATCCATACCCACGTCATCTGGCCGCGTCCATTTGGAAGCTACTCCTGCTTCGCTGGACATTCTCAATGGCTTATTTACCCGAACACTGTTTTCCCGAAAAGCACTTTGCGGAATCAAAAAAATCTTCGAAACGTTTGCAAATATCACAAAAATTAAGGCGCGCAATTAGGGATGTGAAATTTTTCGATTGATTAGCCTGTTATTTGCTATTTTCGCCAATGTTCAGCACCCAAAAATATCGTTAGTCGACAAATAAAATAATTCCCATTTTTAATGGCTCCGTTATTTAGCCACTTAAAATGTATTATTCAACAATATTAAATATTAAAAAATAAAAGCAACAATATTAAATTAAATAGTAAGAGAACACAATTGATGTTAGATTTAGTTTTTTTTCAGTATACCACAATAAATTTTTAAATTCTTAAATTACATTCGAAGAAAATCGTATATTAAAGAAGCTATAAGTTCCCTTTGTTTTCCTATGCATTTTTTTTAATCTGTCGAATAATGTAAAGTAGTTACCTTTAACCAAAGACATTCGAATTCTAGATTTTCTGTAACCTTCTAAGCCGTTAAGTTTGAGCTAAGTTAGGTATACTTTTTTATATACTATTACTTTATACACTATACTTTTCCACAGCAAACTTAAATATAATCTGTTGGGTTTTAAGGTGATAGCTTTAAACTTCAAGTTAAGCTTACTTAAAAAATTTAACTTATTGGGATGCACAACCCCAGGCTTAATAAAATAAAAAAACTACGCCGATAAATAAAAATAACACTTAGCAGATTCTAGCAGATTTAGCTTTTATTGGTATGTTGGTCCAGGGATGGTCGAAGACATTATGGTAAAAAGTTCTTTCAGCCTCTGGTAACACTGGCCGTCGTTGCGTTTTATGCAATAAGTAAACAAATCAATTTATAAACAATGAGCCTTACCGATGTCTGCCGCATTTGCGCCAACAAAATCAAGGGCCACAAGCGGGATCGCAACATATTCAAGTACATGCGGGGAAGATTGCTGGAGCAACTGAAGCTAATCACGGGAGTGGAGGTAAGTGGCTTTGAATCAGCTTCCGACTTTGGAACCATTTGTTATCAACTTTGATTTCTGCAGTTAACAACGAACCAGGGGCTGCCGGAGTTCGTTTGTGAGCGCTGCTTCTCCGAGCTGGACCTGGCCACAAAGTTCCGCGAGCGGTGCATCTTTTCGCAAAAGTACCTCCTGGAGATTAGGAAGAAATCAAAAGATCAGAGCATTGTTCACATCGACCTTAGTCCCGAACCGCTGGACGAGCAACTGATTGATGCGGATCAGTTGGAGGTGGACGACGACGAGCAGTTTGTGTGTTATCAAGACACTGAAGAGGACCCCCAAGATCTGGAGGAATTCCAGCCGGATGAAGAACCCTCGTCCTCGGTGATCGCGGCAGCAGAGGCGACGCACCAAGCGGATCTACATGAGCAGCAAATAGAACGGGCCGCCAAGAGGCGCAGGAACTTCTTTATTTGCGACGAGTGTGGGACCCTGTTCCATGATGAGTACCTGTACAACGAGCATCTGAATGGGCACCAAAACAGGCGGGAGATGAACCAGTTCTTCCCTTGCCCGGAGTGCCCAGAGACTTTCAAAAAGAAGGCCCTTCTGAAGCTTCACCGTGCCCAGTTTCACTCAACCCAGCGCAAGTTCAAGTGCACCATCTGCAACGAGGTTTTCGCGGCTATGGGGGCCAAGCTGCGTCACGACAAGTAAGGATGCTCTGAGTTGTATGCTAAGCACTTGCAGCTCTATCTGCAAATCCGAAATTTCATTTCAGAGCCCATGAGAACGAAAGACCTTATCCATGCCTAGAATGCGGAATGATCTTCAGCAGCGTTTCCGAATTGCAGAATCACTGTTTGATACACTCCGAGGAAAACCGGAAGTTCAGGTAAGCCCTCAGCTTGCGCAGTCTTATATCTTAATATGGCTAATATGTTTTTTCGTTAAGGTGTGAGCCTTGCAACAAGGATTTTATAACTCGCAGGGATCTGGTGGCCCATACAAAAACAGCACCGCACAAGCGTTTTGCTAAGTATATGCAGGATGAATTCGAGTTGAACGAATTGTTAACCTACTCCTAAGTTATTAAATTGTAAATCATAATTACAATTACAATATTTAATAATGGAGTACCAGCTAAACGTTATATTTTTATAAGTGTTTAACATTTTAGTTTTAATTTATTTGAAATAAATTCCTTTTTTCTACTTTGAAGTAAGTTAAATTTAGTTAAATATTAATACTTTTAGATTAAGGAGGGAATGAAATTTGAAAAGTGCTGTATTTCTTGGAAGACTAACCTGTAAAACGCTCTGAAAAATTAAATTCAAGAAAATAATGTTTCCCTAAGCGATCCGATTTCCTTATTTTCTGACACATTTTATACTTATATTGTTAAAAGAAATCTGAAAAAACCAGCTCTAACCGTTTGGCGCTAATCTAATTCTCGGCCTCTAATGGACGGCTCCAATTTAAAAGAGCTTTTATGCACGGCGCATGCGTCCTTTCAGCTGTGGCTGCCTTATATAGAGGGATTCGATTGGGGTTCTGCATATTCTGCGAATTCAACTGGTAGCCGCCGCACGAGCCACAGCGCCCTACGTCACATTGGTATACACACGGAATCGGAGCAGCTGCCGCAGAAAAATCAATACTTACCAAACTACGTGGACGGTTGAAATCGCTTGGAATCGCGCAATATGTTGTTCCGTTCGCAAAGTAAGTCTACGACGCAATAGTTATAGGTGGTTCCGGCGAATAACCTGTTTTTCAAGGTGTGCACATGATGGTTGCGATGCTGGTGGTGGCCTCAAGTGGCTACCAGGTGCAGTCCTATGGCTCCAAGGATATTTTGGCCGATGTCCTGCTGACGGATCTGCTCAATCGCATGGACAACGACATGCAGGTGGGCTACTACGACGTGGGCAACGAGGCAGCTGCTGACTCCAAGGACAATGTGGACCTGGTCTCCCGATCGGAGTACGCGAGGCTGTGTGAGGGGGGAAGCGACTGCATCTTGCAATCGGGATCGGGAGCAGCCTCCCATCCTTCGTTGAGGGACCACGAGTTCGTGCAGCACAGCTCGCTGTGGGGTCACCAGTTCATCTCCGGCGGAATGGGAGAGGGTCCCAATAGGTATCCTGCCATAGTGAAGAACGACGCCGGTCTGCCAGCCTACTGCAACCCTCCTAATCCATGCCCCGAGGGCTATGACATGGAGACCCAAGGTGGCAGCTGCATCGTAGACTTCGAAAACACGGCCATCTTTAGCCGGGAGTTCCAGGCCGCACAGGACTGCACCTGCGACAACGAGCATATGTTCGACTGCTCGGAACAGGATAGTGCCGATACCGGCGCCGAGAAGGGTGACCTGCACTCCGCCGTGGAGCAGTACATCCTGCAGATGGGCCAGGAGAACAGCCTGAACAACGTGAACAGCCTGGTGAAGAAGGCCGGATATCCAGTGATGCCCGATCCTCGCCTGGATGACGCGGTTTTGAACCCGTTCCTCCAGGGCGATCGCTTGCCTATAGCCGCCAAGAAGGGCAACCTTCTATTCCACTAAGCTGGCCCGATAAGCTGATAATTCGAGCCTACACGACCATACATACATCGTTTTCCAAATGGGTGTCTATACTATTACCTATCATAGCTGGTTATCAATGTTGTCCCGCAAGCGGAGTCTAGTAATGTTTCTACCCCTTTCCCGCAAATAAAATTATTCGTATAGTACCAGGGCTCTAAGCCGAAAACACATGGGAATTCCTCTTAACTGGGAAGGGTGAATATCCTTTGCATATTCATAGTTCTGTATCTGGCGCTATTTATTCTTGTATCAAAATATTCACATTCCATCAAATCATCAATCATTATTTATTTAAAGAACTATTCTCTATATGTCGAGTGCATAAATATAACAATATCTCTCTGCTGCAAATCAGCTCCACGTTGAGTATTTTGTGTCAGCATGCACTGGCGCGTGCCTGATCCTGAAGGATCCACGCGGGGATTGACTTAAACGTAACCTACAAATGATAGTATAGTACAACGTATGAATGTTGCTGCCACAATGGGCGATCTCCCACGCACATGCACACGTCGGCACTGGCAGTGTGATTAGCTAAGTATAATGTTCGTTGTGTCGACAGGATGCCTCCTGACAGGATACCGCCAGTGTGTCCTGGATCTCTCTCGCGTCCCTATATATACTCTACAACACAAGCCCTCCTGACTACAACTTTAGGCATTGGCTTAATCTTAAGTTTAGGCAGTTTATGGAAAGAGGCGGAATTCGTTAACAAGTTCTCTAGGTCTAACTTAGCACTACGTCTAGGATGTACGGTTTCTTCAAAGGCGACCTGTGCCGTTGCCGCCGCCATTGGTGTTCTGCCCCCAGGAGACCTGGTGATGCGGGTGGGGATGGGGGTTCCTAGTGGTGAGCCGCAGGGAGTTGCCGTCGCCGTCCTCGTCGATCACGTGCTCATAACCCTGGTTGATCGTGCCGCCCCCATTGGACCCATAAATTTGCTGCAATTTGGGAATACGATGGGAAATGTAAGCAAATCAAATAAAGACAGGAGAGTGCTATAGTCGAGTTGACCGACTATCAGATACCCGTTACTCAGTTAGTGGAAGTGCGAACGAGAAATTTCAACCTTTTGCGGAATATCTGTGAGAATTGGAGAAAAGAATTATACAATTTATGAAAATTCTTTAAAAGTGTGGGTGTCAAAACGTTATTTAAAGAAATTTAAAAATATCGCACTTTTCAAAGGTGTACATTTGGACAAACTACGAGGGGACACAAACGAGGGGTTCAAATGGACAGACGGACATGGCCAGTTCGACTCGGCCATCGATCCTGATCAAGAATATATATACTTTATATGGTCGGAAACGCTTCCTTCTGTCCATTACATACTTTTCAACGAATCTAGTATACCCTTTTCCTCTAAAAGTAGCGGGTATAAAAATATTAAGCGTTATGATCATTCCATGAACACATTTCCGTATAAATTGGCTTCTACCTCTGCGGCACCGTTGTTTACATTGAATACATCCTTGATGCTGATTCCTGCATTTGAGACGCGTCCGCTTCGCTGATTCGGCAGAGCTCCATTGTTGTTGATCTATATAGAGTATGAAGTCATATCCCATTCTCTAAGATTTGTCCAAACGTTTTGTAATCTCACCGGTGCCCCAGTCGTAATCCCGTACTCGTTCTTTGCTCCCAGAGTTTGCATGGCGGACTTCCGCCTTTCGGCCATCACCGAGTTCTTGCGCACCTCCAGTGCCCGGATGGTCTCCGCCCGCATTGTGAGGCGGCGGGTGAGGATGGGCGTGGCCGGATTGTTCTCCGCGTCGGCAGTGAGTTTCAGGAAGCGCTTCTTGAAAGCCACATCCAGGGTGCCAATTTGGCGACGCGGCTGTCGCGCTTTCTCCAGGTTTTGAATGGTCTTCCGTCTGGCTATGCGATCTGGCCCGGAACCGGAGTCATTGTCGTAGTCCCCATCGATGCCCTGCAGCCTCTGCAAGTTTTTCACGATCTCCACAGCATGCTGTATAATAGAACATTAATTTACAAGTATATATCATAAGTTCCTAACACTTGCTACCTACTTTATCTATTAGTTGATCCTGTGTTAGATCCTCGGACTTCTTCTTGCAGAAGTTGAGTTCCGTTGAGGCCAAGATGTGCGAAATGGTTCCGAATCGATGGAACAGCATGGCCGTAAACTGGATTATCAGAATAAGAGCGAAAAAGAACACGAATACCAGTCCAATCGGCTCTAGCTGAAGGTACTCCTTGGATATGTGCACCTAAGGGATAAGAATAGGATGGATTAGCGGGGCTCTGAAGGACTGGGTTAGGGTTAGTGACACTGAACGACGGTTTGGGCTTGGATAATGGCTGATCTTGATACCAGTTGTCGGTGATTGATTGTGGCATGTTGAGGTTGAGGTGTGATACCATTTGGGAGGTTATAAATGTATATGTCGGGTTGGTTTGTATTTATATATTTGTTGAACATATTGATGTCGGAGGAACAATGAACATGCTTGCCGCAACTCTTGGCATGTGTACAGACCGTGATTACTCAGAAGGGAATACTTAAGAGTGTTGCTTATAGTTTACCGTGTTTTCGTTTTAGGGCTAACTGTTAGACCCGCGAATGCCAAGAATGCCAAGATGTTGTTCTGTTGTTTTTACATGATGTATTCGTATGATACAGCCTGAACCATTAGGATGGGGCTAACACAATAAACGGGAGTACCGAGAACACAGAACATCATTAGCTGTTTGGTGATGTGACATGTTGGACGGGTAGGGTAGTAAACATTTAGAGTGAAACAGAGGACAGGCAGGAAGTTAGAAGACCCCTCCGGAGGTTTAGGGTAAGACAAACACTGAGAGCACAGTTGTGGTAGTATAACATCGAATAAAGCTTGTTTATAAACCTCGGATGTCTCTTCGATATAGGTAATGTTGGTTTTGACGCCCAACGGCCAAATAATGTGTAGCTTGTCCTTGTTCAGTTGCAACAAGAAGACAATCAGCACGAACAAGGCGTTGGCCATGAAAAAAGCAAAGACCGACTTGTTTCGCAGCTCAATCAGGTCGGAGGCAATGCGGGCCTTCATTTGGTTTCAGTTCGGTTCAGATCGTGGCGCCAGAAAAGAAATAAACCAAAGGAGTTGTGTTAGTTCGGCTTGAAAGCAGCAATTACCTCCTGGGTGGTCTCGTCGTAGGTGATGTTCGTCCGCACTCCGAAAGGCCACTTCACGTGGATGTTGTCCTTGTTCAGCTGCAGCAGGAACACGATTAGCACGAACAGGGCGTTGATCATGAAGAACGCGAACACCGACGAGTCGCGCAGCTCCTTCAGATCCTTGGCTATGCGGGCCTACAAGAGTGTTATCCGATCCGGCGATGGGGTTAAGTTATGTTTGGTTTCTTCGAGATGAGGGCTTTTCCGGAGAAAGTGATCTCGGCGAACCATAAAGCTGGCTTCGGCGAGCCGAAGTTAAAATACTCATTATGGATAACTCTACATAAATATATCTATCTTTATATCTGGTATACTAATTAACGATCTAATT